AACACCAGCGGTATGAACAGGGGCGTTGTCATGGAGCAACAGGACACCTTTAGACAGCTTGCCTCTTCGTTTTTCCTTTATCTTGTCTCGTAATTTATATATTAAAGAAGCATAATATTCGCCGTTCACGACTGTATTACGTTCTTTAAAATCCACCATCAAAATGCCTTGAAAATCCCAAAATATTGTGCACATCAGTTTTTTAGTCGATTGTTGCACCTTTGCCTTTCTAGGGGGCTTTTCACCCTTATAACTCCATTCCATTGACTCGCGCTTGCTTTTTGGATCATAATACAAGATCATAGTTTCATCACCAGTCACTAGCCGCTCGATCACAGTCTTTGGATTTTCGCCACAAAGATCCAAAAACTCCGAAGCGCAGCGCACTCTTTCCTGTCTCTGTACCGCTGAAAGAAATTTCGATACCCATCTTGCACTTACTTGTGAAGATGTTCATGGATCGCGCGATGAACGGTACTCTTAGAGAGCCCAAGCCTTGCTGCAATTTCTCTAATCTTCAAACGGCGGTCACTCAGAACCTCCTCTTCGATAAGAGCAATCGTTTCGGGAGTGAGCACTTCCACAGGTCGACCGTCGTGGCCAAAGTCTTCGACGGTTTCTCTCCCGAGGCGAAACTCTTTCACCCAATTTTTCACTGTGCTATAGGAGGGGGCAGACTCCTTATACACGCCATCCAATCGTTCTTTTATTTGGGCAGGGGATAAACCTTCTTTAAACAGAAAATTTATGACACTTCGATACTCAGTTTTCGACATTTTGAAAAAAATACGCGACTCTCGTTATTCAAATGCCTGTTAAACTAAGACTAAACATTTCATGTCGATGCATGTTTCTTATATTAAGTGCACGATAAACGTACTATTTAATGCAACACAACATGTAGCGACATGTCGCGTTGAACTATATCAGGCCAGTTCATTATGGGACCGCCTGGTACATACGTATGCATAGAGAGAACCGACAATTCTACATAAATTGAGATAATATACGTGTTTCGCTTTTTCTAATTTAATTTCCAAATTGAAGTGACAAATCTATTGTAAAATGTTGCGAGTAATTCATGTGTGGAAATAGAAATGTCAAGTGGTCATCTTTGGTCTCTTTATACTATGCCAAATATGAGAATAAGTACAAATAATGTATCTTCCGATTTACTACAAAAATGACATCCCTATGGTAGTAGTATTATAAGGCTGCGTTTAGCAGAAAAAAGCGCTAGCAAGCGCTTGTAAGCAAAATGGTGATAGTAAGCGGTAAGCGCTGTCATATCGTAAGTAGCTATTTTTCTCTAGGACACGAAGTTAGTTTTAACCGAGGAACCTAACCTAAATTAAATATATGTTTGTAAAGTATTCATATTAAAAACTTACCAATCATGAATTTTTAATAACAAGTATACTATGTTTATTCATATCATTATATTACTTAAAACTAATATTGCACAAAACAACTTATAAACTCTACTTCAAAACAAATTAAATAAGCAAAATGGCAGATTGTGTTAGCGCTACTGAAGTTAGCAAACGTGTCCTGGCCGGAAACTGTTTAGTTTCGCCATTTTGCTTACAAGTGCTTGCTAGCGCTTTTTTCTGCCAAACGCAGCCAATGTCTTTCTTTTGTGTTTTGTCTAGTGGTGTGTCTAGTAATTTCGTTGGCAAAGTTAGCAACAATCGACATCGATATACTCGTTTTTTTATTTTTTTTTATTACTTTAATATTTGTCTTAAAATATGAAGAAAATAGGACTATACTTATTATTATTTCGACGATCGATCAAGTTAATTGTTTTCTAAATCAAGTGATAACTATTATTATATTACATTGCAAATATTTCGTTTCGTAAACTCTAGAAACCTATAGGTAGGGAGGTATGAATACTAAGTCTTAACAGACACACGGTACATAAGCGAGTTGGATCCAATTTGTAATATGTGATTAACGTTGTGACTAACGATCCGCTTCGGCTTCACCCAACTGTTTTCTAGATCTCGACAACAGCGCTACTTACCGGGACCAATTGTGAATGTGAGTGTTCTTCAAAATCGGTCCAACCGTTTTCAAGTGATGATCTTTCATACATGCGACAATTGATTTTAATTTATATTGTTTTACCACAGGCTTAGCGGAAAATCATCGGCTATATTAAACAAAGTTTGATTGCTTGGATGCTGCTTGGAAATCAACAGCACTATTCATTAAATGATTCCGTGAGAAGAGAAAACTTACATGGCGATCGATAAAATGACTAATGAAGGTGAAAACTTTAACTTCTCTACCAAATTGTTATATTCGTTAAATATACCAGGAATGCCCTTACACTGTCTTAAATTGAAAGTTGTTTTGCCAATCAATTTACTACAAAATTTGAACTCGCCGAAACTGTGTAACTCGTAATTTTGAAATCATGAAGTTAAGGCAGGATCTCGATAATGCCGTGTATAGTCAGCGTGAAAGAAACCATTACCTCCTAGCAAATAATGTATATTATTACTTGAAGTTCTAAGCCTCCATACCATCCTGTAAGTATTATAAAAGATGAGATAGAGAAATGAAATATTAGAATATAGAGGGAACTACGACAAATATTCCCCCTACGTTCGGCAGTGGACTTTAGATAGGCTATAATTAATGAATTAAAGATCGATAATATCTTGAGGGAGCAGAGAGGAAAACGTCTAATACGTTCGTAATCGACTTATTGTAAGTTGTGATTCAGCGGCAAAATAGAAAGCAGACCGCGGTTGTGCCTCTGTTATTGTACTATTGTAACAGTCCCTCTGTGTACGTTCTGTGCAGCAAACCCATGTCGATTGAACAAATACAGTTATTATTCCATGTGAAACTCATAATAAATCTAAGGATAATTTGGCGGAAATCTAAAAAACACCAAAAGTAACGTAAGATGTTACTAATAATGTTTGCCTTTAACTTCATTTTAAATAAGTATGTATATATTTTGTAGGTATATTAATGTCTACTAAGTATCTTTGGTAATTTTTTATCATGTTTCTATAAGTGACTGTACACAGTCGAGGCATAAAAACGGAAGAAAAATAATACACTAATTCCAATTATCTACCGATTACACATGAACTTAGAATATTATTAGACGGCATTAGTGTATAAGGGACAAGAAAATTCCTTATGGCAATATAGCAAAATAATTTAATACACAGAAGTAAAACCACCAAATAAAAAGCAATCGCAAAAACAATAATTTACAAAACGAATCTAAACATTTGGCTTAGACGTTTATACGCTTTATACGTGGTAGAGCCATGCTGCAGTTATATTAGTAGTATAGTGATAGCACGTATAGGTCGCCTAGACCGGGGAAGGACCACGCTCTCACAGAATACCAGCGTAAAATAGTAGCTTAATGCTACTGTGTTTCATATGGTGAGTGTAGAGAACCGGAGACCGCTTTTTACTGGAAACGAGGCATTCCATCTTAGTCCCCACGGGTGACAACGCATCTGCATTTTAATTCGTAATCGAGGATAGATGTAGATGTCTATGGGCCACAGTAATTACCATCAGGTGGACTGTGTGCTCGTTTGTCACCCTATCCTATAAAAAAATGATCCGTGGTCTGATCGATTTTAAATATGTTACGAGCTTGAGGGGTTCGTGACAATAAAAATTGCCGCTCATAAAATTACCTAAATTAAGCACTTTAATTTACTTTACACAAATTAAAACTAAAAAAAAACACTAATAATTAAACACACTAATTCACTTAATTCCGCTCCGAAGCTTCGCTTGTGTCGCCGAGTTCAACTCTGCCCTGATCGCATCTTGCAGCGCCTATTTATATAATTAGCAAAGAAGCGTCCCGAACATTCAAGTAAATGCGCGCCAGGCAACGAGTATTCGAGTGTAGATTTTCCAGAAACTTAGTTCTTCGGGTGGCGCTGTCGGTCGAGTGATTTGTGATGTCATTTTCTCAAGGCTCCCCTCGTTCTCGTTCCTGACACTAGATGGCGCTAGTGTATCGTCGACTTGAGCGCGTAACAATATGTTGACAGTACTGAGGCGTCGTTGGCCAGAACGTTAAGGCGGAGGGGTTTGCACAGGAGGATGCTATCCGCTCAGTAAATAATTAAAATTAAAGCATTTAATATGTATCCCTGCCATGGGCAAAAGTCCCATCTCATTTCTGAGAGGGGTTTAGGTCAAGGTAGTGTCCACTGCTTTGCCCTAATGCGTGTTAGCGGACTTCACATAACTTCAAAATATTTTTAAAGTGAAAATTCTTTAACGACGTAGTAGAGAAATTTAGTACGATATAAAAAAGATAAGATACTGGATATTATACCAATATATAGATATTGTATCTATATACGATTTATACCGCTCACTACTATAATATATATAGTGACTTTATTTTTGTAAGGTACTCAGCTACAGTCTATAGTACTTAGGTGGCGAGGAGTTTTGGCGGGAACTTGGCCGTAGACGGATTGTCGCTCCTGTTTTATCGCTTAAATAATGGTTAAAAGTGATGCGATTTTATGAATTATAAGTGTCCGCGCGTGTGAACTATTAGAGAAAACCACGAAACAAGTGCTTTGATGTCGATATAAACCTCTAATTATTTTGATCGCTTTGGCGCCTTATGAACTTGAGTGGCTGCCGTCATCAACTGTCCGCAGGGTTGAGCTGTCGTCAAAATCTCCCAAGGACTTCGCAATGTGACATATCAGCATATTGTGAAGAAAAAGAATAAGAAATGATGAAAATGAAAATGAAAAATGAACCCAGAGCCATAAAGCCCGTTATAAAAAAATCAGGTAGCGAGCAACACTGCCAATTGTCTTTCCAATGTCAATCATTGTCAGTTGTCATAGTAGTTCTATTTCTATGGCTTATTGATAAATAGTAGTTATTTTTTATTTTCACAAGAACAAGACAAAAAGTTATAAATACGTGTACATAATTAGGAACAAATCGGAAAAAAATTGATTATCAAAGCTATAATGGTCGATAATGTTAAAGTTAACTACCAGTCCGATGAAGGGAGCGATGAAAGTGGGACGAAGTACGTTTTAAACCATTTAGTGGATACGCCAAGTGACGAAAAGCACATACCAATGCCACGAATAGAAAAAGATATATCATTTAACCGTTATTGTCCTCATTGCAATTTGAATTTCGACGATAAAGAGGAATATGAGCACCACAATATTGAAATGCACGCTCAAAAAAAGACTTTAACGTGTGAATATTGTCAAACAGTTTTCCGCCGCCAAGATCATCTAAAGCGTCATATACATAGCTTGCATTTGAGTCAAAAATACTATGTTTGCCCAGTATGTGAAAAAGATTGTAAAAGACAAGATGCAATGTTGAAGCATATCAAAAATAAACATTCCTCAGAGAAGGAGATCTTTCACTGCCGAGAATGCCCGTTTAAATGTAACAAGATGACAATACTGGAAAAGCATGAGTACACTCATCTATTAAAAGATAGGCACACTTGCCCTCATTGTAATACATCTTTTAAACGGAGAGATCATATGGTTAGACATATTAAGTCTCAACATCTGAACGAGCTTGTAGTGTGTCCTATATGTCAGCAGACTTACAAAAGGAGAGACCATGTAGTCAGGCATGTTAGAGAGAAGCACAAAATGGGGTATTTAAATGGAAAACTAGTTAAATCTGAAGATATAATCTAATGTTATTAAAACTTTTTTCATTGGAAAAGTCAAAAAATATTATTAAAAATCTGCTGCATACAGTTAAATGGGTATAGATAATGTTTGTTATAAAAACAATATTTCGTTATTAAAAATTTTAAAATAATATTTTACCTACATTTGATTTTTCTGATTACAGAATGTGATTTTTTTATAGAATAAGTGTGACTAACATGCACACAATCTAACTAATGATAAATGGATGCTGTAGCCCACACATCTACATCTGTTCTCGATTAAGAATCAAAATGCAGATATGCTGTCACCCCTGACTGCTTAGATGTAATGCATTGTTTTTAGTAAAACTGTTCTCTGGTTGTTTTAGGAACATTATTGTCAAAACAGAAGTCCGTTAACTGTGGAAATATATATTAGCTAAATAGCTAAATTCCATACTTTATATTTTGTTTGCATATTTTCTGTGGGTCTTCTTTCTTGAAACAGATTAGTTTAAATCTGAGACTTATTTTAAAATAGTTCTTTTAAGTTTTAATAAATCTTATGAAATAGAAAAATTTAAATTGTATATCACATATTTAAGAGTCTTTACTTATTTATTTTATTCGGGATACCGACAGCTTTTATATATTTTATTTATTTCTAAATTTTAAATCTATGTAGCTATTGAAATATGTTATAAATGTGAAGTCGCATTCACATTGGAATCTAAATAGCTTTGTTATTGTGGAGTATATTTAAAATAATATTTTATGGAATGATATACTTTAATGTGAATGAGAAATTAGCACATATTTTATAAAATAAAGTTATACTCTGGGCTATAATGGCTATAGCACAAGTGGGTTGGGTCGACTGCAGAAAGATCATTCTTACACAGAACACCAGTGTAAACAGTGATAGTGTAGTGTATATTAAGGTAGATGAGGCAGAAAGTTTTGAACTCAAATTCACACAATTGTAAGAATTCTATTTAGTGGCTCGGAAACCGCGATCTGGATCACTCATACTAACACAAAAAAATATTTTTTAAATGCCGAGTTGTGTGATGCGGAACTGTAAAAATTATTATTCCAAAATAAAAAAAGGCAATGGTGTTTCGTATCACATGTAGGTTTGTTCAAAATTATCATACATTTAAATCATTTTTATATATAAGTATACAATTTTAACTGAGTGTAAAAGGGATAGCATTAACTTGAACATCATTATGTCTTTAAGTATCAACTATCTCTTTCCCACGCATACAATCTCTATACTCCTATATATAATAAGTATGTATACGTCAAAATGGAACAAGTTTAGAAAGACGTGAAGTATCAGCATGTGTCATCTACTTCCTTTCTAATATACACTATCATTGAGTGTAAAGAAGCAGCTTATGTAATAGTAAAGGTGTCTGGATGTCACAATTAGCTTAGTATCCTAGACTAGAGATTGGCTTAGTAAACATAGAACATAGAAAAAAAACTGCGTTTGCCAACCCGCTTGCCAAGTGTGGGAACTATGGCAATATCCCTCTATGCAGCAATATATGGAGGAGGCCAATGTTCAGCAATGGACTTTGATAGGTTGTAACGTTAATGGAACATAGCCCCCTCCCCCACTCACTCCCATTGATTAATATATTCTACAGTTGACATGCTTGGCAGGAGGATGTAAAACACTGGTAACATTGATTAAAACTACTTTTATGGATTTTATTGCGTTTAATTTCAAATGATTTTTAATTCTCGACGTTTCGGGTGTTTTCCAGCACCCATAGTCACAGGGGACTGAGGTAATTGACGTCCCGATGTCAATTTTAACCCGAAGTGCCTTCAGCTTTTTAATTATTATTTATAGATTGATATAGATCGGACCATAAATAATAATTAAAAAGCTGAAGGTACTCCGGGTTAACATTGACATAGGGACGTCAGTCACTTCAGTCTCCTGTGGCCATGGGTGCTGGAAAGCACCCGAAACGTCGGGGATTAAAAATCATTTAAAATTAAATGTGATAAAATCCGTAAAAGTAGCTTTAATCAATGTGTAGTGTTCACGTAAATATCAGAAATCATTATGTAAACTGTGGTAACCACAGTTTTTTAGTATTATTATTAAGATGTGATCAAGAAGATGTGCTGCCTCTATCACGTTTTATACCATCACTACATGGTGTACCATCCTATAGTAATTTATTAAATTATATCCAAACCCAAGCTACATAGCATATATTATACTGTAAAACATCCATTTAAATAAAACTAGTTTATATGGATTTTATCGTGTATATTAACTTGCAATTACCAGTCCGTACTGGTTTGCATAATGATTTCTTATATTTATGCCAGCATAGTGTTCAAACAAATCATTATGTAGAACTTCCAGATACTGTAATTTTGTTGTGCATAGATTTTACTCACTAAAATATAAAGAGCTCTGCTTGTAATTTCTTTGGTATAAACAATAAGATTTGTAATTAAGAAAACAGTCAGTTGTTCATAATTATCAGTTTTATTAGAAAAAATATAAGAGGGATCGTAGCTGTCTGTATATATATATATATATTTCTTTTATTTTTTATGTTTGAAATTTGTTTGTTGGATGTTGATAAAGGCAGTATAACTGAGAAATTTATGTCATTTTAGAAGATATTCTAGTTTTAAAATAATTAGTTTATGGAAAAAAATAAAACATGGAACATATTATATGGCAGTGGTACATATACATATTTTATTTTATTTCATCATCGTCATCATCATTACAGCCCTTCACAAGTCCACTGCTAAACATAGACCTCCCCCAAGGTATGCCACAAAGCACGGTCCTGAGCCACCTGCATGTCTTACCAGGTCGTCACTCCATCTAGTGGGGGGTCGCCCTACACTTCGCCTACTGGTACGAGGCTGTCACTCGAGAACCTTTTATCCCCAATGTTTGTCGGTTCTTCGAGCTATATGGCCAGCCCGTTGCCAGTTCAGCTTACTAATCCGTTGGGCTATGTTGGTCACTCTGGTTCTACTGCGGATATTCTCATTTCTAAGTTTATCACACAGAGAAACCCCGAGCATAGCCCTTTCCATAGCTCGCTGAGCGACTGAGCGTCCTCATACGGCCAGCAGTGAAGGACTTATTATTCTTATTTTATTTATATAATCTTTATTATACACCTTATACTAAGGGATATAAAGGGTGTACTTAATGCCTTATGGCATTTTGCCTATGACTATGGGTATGAATTATCCTGAGGCCCAAGGGGCACCTGAACTACACCTCAGCCTGCTGTTAAGCCACATTTACATTACGAAACTAGTGTTATGCATGATTAAATTTATTCCATGAAACTAATCGCAGTACTTGTGAAACTTGTTTTGTCAAAATAACTGTGTTGTTAAACTAACGGTATCGTTGAGATTATGGCTCCATTAGTGTTTTGCAGATTTATTTTGCTGTCTAAAGCGTTGTCTTATACCGATGATAAAATGAGTTGAGAATGGCCACCCGAGAAAGCATCTGGATGCAACACAGTTAATTTCTGAATTAGCAGATGAAGATCCTGAGAGCTATACAAACTACTTTCGCAGCACTAAGTTTCGCGAATGTTTTGGTGATATTAGTTGCATGGCATTAGTTTTACCCAAAAATTACGCGTGAAATTAGTTTTATACCACTAGATTCGTAATGTAAATCAGGCTTTACTGATTTTACAAGAGTAGTGTAATGTTTTGTTTTATAATGAGCGTTGAGAGGTCGACGGAATAATCCCAAGGTACCGTATATTGTAATGTAAAAAAAAATTGCTCTAGTATCATTATCCAGAAAGAAAAGAAAGGAATATATTCTAATACACTTTTACGGTTATAGTTATGGTATGGAGAGCAAGGGTGTAATGGTGTACAACCCCTGAATAGATTAAGTTAAGATTATCATAGGCCTAGATAAAGTTGTGAACTGCTGTAGGCTGTGATGATGAAGGCTTAAAGAATAAAAAATGACAGCCTATGCACCACAAGTCTCATTTTTAAACGGTTTTTGGAGAACGGTAGAACCCACAGCTCTGCTTTAATGTGTTTTGGTGAATTCACATAGTTTCAAAACATTTCTCTTCATTTTCTTGTAAGTATCTAATTTTCTAGACTATACTTCATTATTTATTTCACAAGTATATTTTTACACTTGTATTCGTGATTTTGTTCATCAAAAATCCCTTGTAAGTTACAATTTGTAGAAAATCATAGCAAATCCAAATAGTGTCCGGCGACTCTCCATTCCGTCTTACAAGTGTCACAAGTAGTATTGTAATATTTTTAGAGTTCCGTAGTCAACTAGGAACCCTTATAGTTTCGCCATGTCTGTCCGTCTGTCCGTCCTCGCTTAATCTCCTTGACCGTTAGCACTAGAAAGCTGAAATTTGGTACCAATATGTGTATCAATCACGCCGACAAAGCGGTAAAATAAAAATTGGAAAAAAATGTTTTTTAGGGTAGCCCCCCTATATGTAAAGTGGGAAGTGATTTTTTTTAATTTCAACCCTAACGTATGATATATTGTTGGAAAGGTATTTAAAAATGAATAGTGGTTTACTAAAATCATTTTTGATAATGTCAATAATTTCGGAAATAATCACTCCAAAAGTAAAAAACAATGTGTCCCCCCCCCCCTCTAACTTTTGAACCATAAGTTTAGAAAATATGAAAAAAATCTGAAAAGTAGAACTTTATAAGGATTTTCTAGGAAAATCATTTTGAACTTGGATGGAAACAACAGTACCCACTACCGGGAGCAGTTGCAGGAGCGCGGAGCGCTGCTGGAGCGCGAACATAATGGATACCCACCTTTAAACTCATAAGTGGGAACACATATTGTGACGGATGGAAAACTACGGAACCCTACACTGAGCGTGGCCCGACACGCTCTTGGCCGGTTTTATTTCAATTTGATTATCCATTTTAAAATGTGATCAAGTGACTCAAGCGCTGATGAAAATATTAGAATAATGGAACCAAGAACATATAGAACAAGATTTGACTACGGTT